AGTCGCTGACGGACGGGCTCTCCAGCCTCACCCCGGTGTCCCCCACCTCCTCCGTGCCCCCCGCCTTCCCTGGCCCCGAGGCGCAGGGACCGGTGCCCCCGGTGCTGCTGCCGAGCCCGGACCTGGCGCTGGGCTCCCCCCGCAGCCCCCCGCAGCCCCCCGGCCTGTGCCACGTCCACACTGACCACGCGTACCAGGTGAGCAGGGGACGGGATGGGGACACACGGGGCTGCTGGGAGGGACCCCATCGCCATCCCCCGGTGCTGACCCACGGCCGGCTCCTCTCCCCACAGGGCTGCCCCGTATCCCCGCGGCCACCGGTACCCCCGCCAGCGCCCGCCCCACCGCCACCCAAGCCGCCCGCTGCGCCCAGGTGAGCACCGGCATCGCCTCCCCGTCCCCTTCGTGCCCCCGTTGAGCGCGTCCCCAACCCCATAACGTGGCCCCTGTGCCCCACAGGAGGCCGCGGGGGGAGGCCAAGAAGTGCCGCAAGGTGTACGGCATGGAGAACCGGGAGCTGTGGTGCACGGCGTGCCGCTGGAAGAAGGCTTGCCAGCGCTTCCTCGACTGAACCGGAGCCACCGGGGCCACCGGGGCTGCAGCATCCCCTCCTTCTTGCACATTTTGCACTCGAGGTGCCTTCGCGCCCCCCCCCCCCCCCAAAAACGCCACCCCGGGGTCCCCCCGGACTCAGGGAACGGCCCCCCCCCCCCCAAAAGCTTTATGCACACGGAGCTTGTCCCCCCGTTGTTCCTTTGGAAGATAAGCTAAACGTGCCCCCCCTCCCCTATGCCAGCACTGTGGTTGGAGGGGGGGGGGAGCTGCCGGCTGCTTTTGGGGACCCCCCCATCCTGGGGGCTGCCCATGGCTCGGATAAGCTGTGCCTGCACCCATGGGGGGGCTCAGTAAAGGAGGAAGGGGGGGGGTGTGCGTGTGCGCCTGTTGCCTGTTCCTGCCCCCCAACCTGCTCCTCAGGGGGGCACCCCCAGTGCCCGGGGCAGAGGTGGGCGCCTGCCCCCCCCCCCCCCCCCCCCCCAAAAAGGGGTTTTTCCTCTTTGTATCCCCGTTTCTCTCTCTTCCGTCTGGGGGAGCCGGGGCGATGCTCCGGGAAGTGCCTGCAGGAACGCGCCCATTTGCACTAAGCCAAACTGCACAAAGAGGTGGCTTTTTATTGGGTTTTCCCCCCCCTTCCCTTCCCTTCCCTCCCCCCCCCCCGGTTTTTATTTTTTTTCCTCTCATTTTTATTAATTTTGGGTTTTTGTTCCTTTTCGTGTGTTTTTATTTTTTAAATAAAATATATGAAAATTCCTATTTTTAAAGAACTCCCTCCCAGGGCAGTGCCTGCAGAGGCCTCCAAACCTGGGTGGGTTTTAAGGGCCTTTATTCCCTTCAAACCCCATTCCACCCCCACCCCCCCAAAACCCCTTTTTATCCCCCCCCCCAAACCCCCTTTTCTCCCCTCTCATCCCATCACGCTCACAGGTTCAGGGCTGGGTTTGGCCCAGCCCCTTCCCTGTGCAAGGATGGGTGGGATGAGGATGAGGATAGGGATGGGTGTGCAGCCAGCCCAGGGCAGGTCCCCATTGCATTGGGACCCCCGTATTGCAGGGTCTCCCCATTGCAAGGGGGGGGGGGGGGGGGTCGGACCACATCAGCCCTATGGGCTGGTGCTGTGCCAGGCTGGGCCCCCCCCAGCCCCAGGGCTGGGATGCATCAGATCCCGAAGGAAAACAATAAATGTTTGGATTCTTTTTTAAGGATTCTTCTTCCTGATTGCTGTGGTTGAGTGGGGCTCTGCATGGGGGGGGGGGGGGCAGCCCTGGGCCCCTCGGGAGTGGGGGTCATAGAAAGATCCCAGCATCACAGAGGAGTTTGGGGTGGAAGGGACCATCAAGTGCATCCGCTTCCAAGCTCATCCCACCCTTCCACTAGAGCAGGTTGCTCCCAAGCCCTGTCCCCTGGGGCAGGTTAAAGCCATTCCCCTTGGCCTGTCCCTACATCCCTTGTCCCAAGCCCCTCTCCAGGTTTCCTGCAGCCCCTTCAGGCACTGGAGCTGCTCTAAGCTCTCCCCTTCAGGAGCCTTCTCTTGTCCAGGCTGCCCCAGCCCAGCTCCAGAGCAGAGCTGCTCCAGCCCTCGCAGCAGCTCCTATGGCCTCGCTCCAACAGCTCTGGGCACAGGAAAGGGCCAGGCCAAGCAACATCACCCCCAGCCCCAAACAGCCCCAGGGTGCTCATCCCTTACACGTGGCTGCTGGCCCTGCATGCACCACCATCACCCCAACCGTCCCCGCAACGAGGAGGAACGGTACTGCCATCGAGCAATGAACCCCAAAGCCATGCGGGAAGTGTAGCAGCAATTATCCCGATTTATTGAAACGGATTGATCTTTGCAAGGATGCCTAAACCTAAACCCCATCACAAAAGGAATTCCTGCCCAGAGGAACGCTCCGGCATGCCCAACCCGGAGAGCAACTAGAAAAGAAGGTCGGCATTGACCTGAACTACATGTACAGCATCAGAACAACACAGCCAGGGCCTCCCACCGGAACTCCTGGATACCCCAAACCCTCCTCCTGCACCTCCCTGGGATATGAAACACATCTTCAATACAAACACAGGTTGATAATAATTAATATAAAGTCAGTATAATATAGAATATTCCCAGCCAAAAAATAATAATAATAATAATAATAATTAATAATCATCATCAATCTTCAAACTCTGTCCTGGGATTGTTCTTTTTTTTTTTCTCCATTTCTTTTTAGCTTTATTTTCTAGACAGGTTTAAAGCACGTTGCAAAATAAATACCTCTATCTGAGAGCATACACACAGCACTCTTGACTAGGCGGGACTGCGGGGGATTCCAAACGAGAGAACGTAGGGAATAGCGACCCATGAAGTATGGCTTCTGCAGGAGCTGATGTGTCCCAAGAGGAGCTCAAATGAGGCTTCATTCTCTCTCCTATTGCAAAGGATTCCAGTTTTTGCATGGAGTTTTAGGGAGTTTCTTCGCTCAAGGGGGAAGGGACATGAACCCAAAACCCCAGCAGGACGTGGCTTTAGCAGTGGGAAAGAGGAGTATTTAAAGGTGGGAGAGCTAAAGCAGGACCCGAGGCCGGAGGGGGTTTCCTTGTGCATGGAGAAGATTCCTTCTGTGCTCCAAACCAGAAGGTTTTGATGGCAAGCAAGGGAGAAGGGCAATAGAAGGCAGGGGGACGGGCACTCTGCAGCCCTGCTCTGACCCATCCCACCACAGCCACGGGGCTTTGGGGTGACCTTAAAATATACCCGAAAATGGGTTATTTGTGACTTTTTGGCAACAAAACGGACAGAGCTTTACAAGGGAGGGATGGGACCAGGGGAACGGCTTTAAGGTCCCTTCAACGCAAACCATCCCATGCCAATGAACACAAGGAGCCCCTCCGCTTGTTCTCCTTGCACGCCCACCACCAAACCCCATGGCCCTCAGCGCGTTCCCCGTGGGGTTTCGGTGGGGCTGGGGCGGGAGGGTGTCGCTCGCACCCTGTTGTGTGTGAGAGGGTGGTGAAGGGCGGCTGGAACACGCCTTGTACTCACAGAGTAGAAACCAAACGAGGACCAGGGAGGACACCCAGGGAGGAGCATCGAGGCTGGGTACAGATACATCAAGAACCCCCTCAGCTGCGAGTTATCGAGACCCAAAGCGTTTCAATTGCTTTACCCGGAAAGGGGAATCCTTCCTTTTGAAACCCAACCTGTAAAGTCCTATACACACACATCAATAGTTAGAAAAACCTAAAAAAGGGGACCCTCCGTGAAGTATACAAAGCCCTGAAGGGAAATACAAAGAGCCAGAGGTTACTGGAGCTAGTGTTGGCTGCAACAGGCAGAACTGCTCTTCTCCAAGGGCAGAAGACACTTGCATAGGCAGCAGATCCCGAGAGGGGCCACGTGGAACAAGGGGTGAAGTCGTATAAAGTTCCAGCATTAAAAAAAGGAAGGGGAAAAGCCCAAATTCCCTGGGTTTGAGCCCAACGGAGCGTGGCTGGTTCCAGACTAATTCCTGCACTTCCATAGCAGCCACCTCCATCAAACCAGAGCGCTTCAGACAGACGCGGGGTGGCAGATGGGTTGGGTTGGTCTATGCAGTCGATGTTAGTCATACAGAGCATGGTGGTGACACGGTCAGAGTCAGCTTTTAGAGTGGATTTTCTGGTTTTCTCTCCATTTTGATACGTTCTTTGCATCGCCAGCTCAAAGAGGATGCCATTTCCCAAGGGGCACCACTGGGAAACGCTTCCCAAGCCACTTGGTTTACTGCCCACCCTTCAAATAACACAAAGGAAAGAGAACAGAAGTATCTCCAAAGGAATCCCAAAGTGAAGTGCTCCAGAATTCTGCTGACAAAACCCAAGGGTGAGGAAGAGGAAGGCTCAGACCAACATCTCCTGCTCCTCCTCGGAGGGTATGCCAGCAGATCCACACACCAGCGTGGGAGGAGATGGCCGAGATGGAATGTCACAGAAACCCAAGGGAATCTGAATGGGTTTGGGGTTAAAATGGATGGTTAAATAGATTTGCACGCAGGAAGAGCAAAGCTACAGCTATCTGTGAAGCACTGTATGTATTTGTCTACGTGTTACAGGTAAGGCTGCGAGTTCAGGACCTCCGAGACCCCCCATATTTACAGGATAAATGCCAATAAATAGAGAGCTCACACAATGAGAGGCCAAAGTCAGGGTGAGGAACCAGCAACCTCGCTCTGGGACCCCCCCAGCTGCTGGAAAAGCAGCATCCAGGGGTCCAGTCGTCACGTTCTGGGGTGTTTATGTCCCTTCAGCTATGGGAGGGGGTTAACTGCTTAATAAAGATGTTTCAGCGTGACCCTTCTGCTCTGTGAGTGCTTAAAGAGGAGGGTGATCCCTTCTCCCTGCCCAAAAGCAACAAGTCCCACTTCGCTCCTTCAATCCTAAGGAGCAGCAGCAGCACACGGTGCTCACGTGGCCGCATGGAGCCCAAAGAGGATTCCAGGGAAGATCCGTGTTTCCGAATCCCCAGCGGGCACCCGAAGCAACAGCTCAGGAGCTGCTGGAGATTCCCCATAAAGGGAATTCTGCCAGGAACTGAGGAGCAGAGAGAGGAATAAATGCCACAAACCCAGGATGTGCCTGAGATCAGGGAGTGAATGAAGAACCAGCTACTGCAGGTGCCAGGATTGAGGTTCCCACCACACTCCATCAAATCCCGGCACCGAGTGGCTGCAGTCCTTCCAGACTGTTTGCTTTAACTGGGGTTTACTGTACAAGACACTGGGTATTTCCATCACTGGATGGAACCAGGCTTTTCACTACGGACCACCAGACCTGCAAGAACATTCTCCATCCCACTGGGATCACCTGTCCCACCACGGGGGGAAAATAGCACCGTTAAGTCATTTGGCTTTCTGGTAACGGGTTGTCTTCTGGGCCAGAACCACCGTCACAGGCAGGGTGTACAACTGCTCCGTGGCAAGGAAAAGAGTGAGGTCGTCAGCTCAAAAAGCACCAGAAGCAAAGAGGTGAAGGGTAAAAACCAGCTTCTGCTCAGGAGCGAGACACTTCCAACGTGCACTGCTGCTGTCAGTTAGGTGGAGCTGGGAGAAGGCATGAACAAGGTAGAATCCAACCAGCTGGAGGAGTCCCAGAGTCTCTTTGGAGATGCTGGGAGAGAAACCTGGCTCTTAGGTAAAATAAATTAGGTTTATTTGAAACTTTACACAGAACCAGTGCAGCTGAAGCTCAGTAGGAGTCCTGCCTACTCGTCATGCATGGGAACTGGGGGGAGAAGACCGATGTACCCAGGTGACATCCTGCCCCCATTAACACCTACAGGATGGGAGCAGCAGGATTTCCACCCAGCTGGGATCTCCTCACCTCGGCCTTTCCCAGCTCCTCCTGCACTTTGCCCAATGTTTTTGCTGTGGTTTGCATATATCTGAGAAAAGGCAGCTGAGCAAAGGGAAAGAACAACAGGTAGAGAATTACCTGTGTCCTTTACAGCAAAGGGTGCTTCTGGGAGCACCAACATGCATTGCAGCGCCTGTGGATAACCAAGGCTGGAAGACAGGACGTGGGCATGACACCAGTAGGTCCAAGAAACGTCATCATCTTCCTCTGTTTGATGGTGACTCTTTTGGAAGCTGAGAGTCCAAGAGAAGACTCCGTAAGGCTCTAATCTGACTTGCCTTTTGATCTATTTGGCTCCATAAAAAAACAATTAAAACTCTCTTCCAACACCTTTGCCAAAAGGCCTGTATCACCAAGGGAAGCCCTCCAACACATCCATCAACCTGCTTTCCCAACACCAGCTTGTAATCCCACTGCTGCTGGGATTCAGCACACAGACAAGGTGTTAAACAGAATAGAGGAAAGAAACAAAAACCCAACCACCACGAAAACAACCTGCTTTGGACACAGAGCTCTCCCCACACAGGGTCAGGGTGGGAAGGGAGGGAGGACTCGTGCTTCACCCAGGCTCCCATCACGCAGTGCTCGCACCCTCAACCTCATCAACCCGACGGCTGCGGCCGGGGCTGGTGGTGGAGGGAGAAGGGGGAAGGCAAAGTCAGTGGTGCCACTGGGAGCGACCCTGCTAAGACAGTATCGGAGCGGGACAGAGAAGGACCGGTTTAGAAAACACGAGAGTTATTTTGCACACATGGACGACAACAAGGCTACTTAAGTTTCTTTTCCGACACACTCCTTCCTTCCCACCCTCCCTCCCCCTACAAACAAGAGAGCGGAACAAAAAAAAAAACCCCAAACAAACAAAGGAATCCCTAAGAAATCCAGGTAAAATCCTTGTCGTTCTCCCCAGAGTGGTCCTGCTCCTGCGGAGAGTCGACGTCCTTGTCGTCATCTAAAATCACATCATCCTGCGACATTCCCACGTCGTCCTTCCACTTGATGTCGTCGTCGTCTCCCATCTCCTCGTCTCCTTCCACTTTGATGTCGTCCGGGTCTTCCATGTACTGCCCTTCGCCGGGGTAGCACTCGTCTGGAGAGCCTTCTCCCCCGTTGTGGTCCAGGTGAGCGGCTATGCCTCGGCCAGAGCAGTCGGCACAGACGCCGTGGCGGCGGGAGCCGTGCTTTATCCCCACGCTGGCCGCGGACATGAACACTCGGTTGCACACCTTGCACACGTACTTCTTGTCTTTGCTGTGGACCTGGCGAAGGAGAATCACCACAACTGTTAGCGTGGAAGCAAACCAGCTCGGAAAAGACCTTTAAGCTCATCCAGTCCAACCGTTGCCCATCAGTGCCGAGGCCACCACTAACCAATGGCACTGAGGGCCTCGGCTCCACCGTGTGTGAACACCTCCAGGAACGGTGACTCCAGCACTGCCCTGAGCACCCTTTGGGGAAGGAATTGTTCCTCAGCTCCATCTAAACCTGCCCTGGTGCAGCTCGAGGCCGTTTCCTCTTGTCCCATCCCTTGTTCCTTGGGAGCAGAGCCCAGCCCCTCCTGGCTCCATCCTCCTGTCAGGCACTTGTAGGGAGTGATAAGGTTCCCCCTGAGCCTTCTCTTCTCCAAACTACCCCCACCCCCAGGTCCCTCAGCCCCCCAGTACACCCCACCCCAAGCACCAGTTCTCTGCAGACCAGAGCAGAGCAGCTCACAATCAAACGTGTCAACATCACATTAACTCCACGGTCTCCCTCCTGATCCCACTGCTACCGATAACCAAAGAGCAGGAGCACTGGGAATGCATCCTGTATCTGTCCAAAACTGCAGCTAAATGCACTCCTAACCTCACTTCTGACTACTCTGGTGGCTGAAAAATGGCCTGTCACAAATGTTTCTGATCCATAAATCACGCTGCATTCCATGCCCAAGAATCACAGGCACACGGAGTTATCGCAGGGAATCAGTGCTAAGTGGGAAAATCTCTGCAGGATACCAGAGATCCCTTCAAGAGTCAAACTCCACGACACAATGACCAAAACTGCATACTTTGAGAAGCACAAAACCACCTCAGCAAAGGTGGAATCCACTGCTGCCTTCCTTTTGTGGAAGGCCAGGAGCTTGCTTAAAATGTTCACATGCCCTTCTCCCTAAGGAAACAGCCAAGCAGTGCAGTGAGAATGCCTGAATTCCAACACAAGGAGTCTCATCAGGTACTTTCATATATATATATATATGTGTATAATAAACCACATATAAAATACATATAAAGATTCATTTTACTTACATATAGCTCAGTTGGAAGGGACCTACAACAATCATCTGGTCCAACTGTCTGACTACTTCAGGGCTGGCCAATATACCTTACATTAGAGACATGTATAGTTTCTCTTTACATATATATTCTTTATATTTTTAATATAGTAACAGCACGCTGGGGCAGCCCAGGAGCTCGCCTCAGTAACTGCCCTACCCCTGATCCACAGGAGATCCTTTGGGAAGTGGTATAGAAACAAAGACGGATCCGCCTTGTATCACACTGTCCAGTGCTTTGGACACTGAGCATCACCATCAGTCCCAGAGCCTCTGGGCCATGTATCCCCAGTACCTAACCCTTTCTTTATCTCATTTCTTCTTTTCATGCCCACAGCAGCCCATAGGAAAGGTTTTCCTGGTTCTACACAGCTTGTGTGGAAAAATCCTTCCTTTCATCCTAAGCCAGCAGCCCGGTGAGGCCAGTTCCCTGCTCCTGCCTCCACATGGGATCACCTGCTCTCACAACTGGATTCTGCATAACCCTGTGCTCATCCACAGCACCCAGCTGAGCTAAAGCTATTTAGAAGAGGACAAACTGACCCATCTTGCCCCCTTCAGCCCTCACAACCACAGGCCACTGGCTCAGGCTTTGCATGACACTGGTCCCAACCGTGTTCAAAGCCTGGATGCTCTTGTGATGTGCTCCGGCCTCAGGCTCTCTGTGCCCTGAGCTAGTCCCCATGATGTGTTCTTCAACTGCATCAAGCACAGCCATTGTGTTTCATTTCTTTTTAAAGCCCTATGTCTAAGGTTTTTAAAGGCAGCTGGACAGGGCTGCTCTGAGGCATCCAACAGGATCTATAGGTATCACTCGTTTTAACTGCCAGAAGAATGACTTTCAGGCATCAAAAGCTGAACAGGGCTACAGAAAGTGGTCACGGGTACAAAAAAGAAATGATAAAACAGGTACTAAAATGACATGTAATTAAAATACCTGTTAAAAACCTGAGCACCTCTCTCCTCTCTTCCAACCCTGACAGTTTGGTTGGCATATTCAAAGTGAATATATTCCTGGATGCTGCTGAGCAGAGATTACTCTTATTTCCCTTATCACCAAATTAGTGTTAAACACAGGAATGGTGTTTGTCCTTCAGTGTCTGACAATGGCATTAGAAAGACCATATTCTGACTAAATACTGATATTCCCAGGGAGAGAGGGGAACACACTGTGCTGACAACATGCTAAAGGACTGGAAAGGAATAAAGGGAAGTTCTCAGAAATAACACCACGGCAACTTGGCACATCAGCCCCTTGTCCACCCCTGTGCAAGGAAGGGGATAACTGCAATGGGCAGCACTGCTGCTTGGCAAGCTCTGCATGGAGAGGGGCCTTTGGACAAGGGCCTGTAGGGGCAGGCCAAGGGGAATGGCTTTAACCTGCCAGAGGGGAGACTGAGATGAGCTCTCAGGCAGAAGCTCTTCCCTGTGAGGATGCTGAGGCGCTGGCACAGGGTGCCCAGAGAAGCTGTGGCTGCCCCATCCCTGGCAGTGTTCAAGGCCAGGTTGGACACAGGGGCTTGGAGCAAGCTGCTCCAGTGGAAGGGGTCCCTGCCCATGGCAGGACTTGGAGTTGGAGGAGCTTTATGGTCCCTCCCCACCCAAACCCATCTGTTGTTCTGTAAGTTGTGTTACTGCTGTTCAACTGCCTTTGCAGGAAGGCACACAAGGGGATGCACATGCCTTCAGGACTGGGATGAGGGAACTAAAAGTTCTTTGGGGCTTCTTGAGAGTTACAAGCAGGGAAACAGGAATTACTCCAAGCACCTCCTCCAGTGCATTATTCTTTACACTCAAATTTTATCAGATACTATAAATATGATACACATAATAGAAATACGGATAAAGTTACTTAAATGACCTCAACAAATCAATTCTTAGTTACTACCTGTCAACACTCTATTTTTAATACCTCACTGCGTTAGGACCTCATAGCCACCATCCTCAGTATTTCAAATAGCCCAGATTTTCCCTACGACCTTACTCAGAGGGGCACCAGAGCTTGCTGGGGTGCATTACTGACATTAACTATATAGAAACTATTTGCTCTTCCACAGTATCACCTCTATACCAAGCTCCTTAGGATGGCAAATTAATTCTTACCTAAGAAATACTTAGAGTTTGGCTTAAAACATTGTTCCTGAAGGAGCTGTGACAAGCAGCCAGCGGCACAAGCCTACCTGGTTTGGAGCAGCTCTCTTTAGTAAGGTGACAATTCAGCACTGCCAGACCACAGTAGCTTTACCTGGAATTCTTGCTGAGTGTTTTAAAGCTTCCTAGACTGTGACAGGAGAGGAGATGAAGGTTCCCTATGGATGAACTGGCAGCAAAACACAGCCTTTGAATGGTGGGGAAAAAAAGATGCTGCAGAAGCCTTTAGGGGAGCCCCGGAGGGGAAAACGAAATACAGCCCTCACTCACATGAAGCTCCTTTATCTCACCTTTTATCTTCATCTTATCCTTTATCTTATCTCTAAGTGATAAGTGGCTGTGCTGGGCTCTTACCAACGTGTGCCGCTTCATGTGCTCCCGGCGCGTGAACTTCTTGCCGCAGATCTCGCAGGGATAGGGCCTCTCTCCCGTGTGGGATCGCATGTGTCTCTTCAGGATGCACTGGTGCATGGCTGAGAAACTGCAGTAGGGGCACTTGAACTTCTTCCTGATGACTGTGAACTCGTTGACTGCAAGAGAGCAAAGCAGAAGATGCTGATTACAAAAGGTCGGTCTTATGTACTACTTCACTGCTGAATTGGTTCACTGTGAAATCAATCACAATCTCACCCCTCAACCCTCTACAGTGGCTTTAATCCTTATATTATTGCACTTCTGCTATTAAAGAACTTCAAGTACTGTCATCAGACAACCTCCTGAACACGTCAACACACAAACATTCAGCAACAGTCTGTAATGCACGTTGCCCAGCGCTTGCTGAATGCTAAGTAACAATGCCAAGTAACTCTGTGATACTTATTATAATGAATTATCTTAAGTATTGAGATCTAAACCTCTAACACTTATTTGTGGAGGTAGCAGATAGCTGGGAGTAGCAGACCACAAACATAACACCCCTTAAAGCTCATTCCAACCCCCTGCCATGGGCAGGGATGCCTTCCACTAGAGCAGCTTGCTCCAAGCCCCATCCAACTTCCATCATGCTTGATGGACCTTGTTCTGCCCCCCTTCACTTGTGCTTTGCTGAGCTAGAAAAGGGGTAGACCTCGAAGCCTTCCTGACACAGTTGAGTCTTTCCTTCATGCCATCTCCATAGGAGCTGCTGAAAGTGGCCCCAGGGGATGCAGATGGCACAGACAGCCCAAGGGTCTCATTTGCCAGGGAAAATACTAATACTACTAAAAATCAATGCAAGCACCTGGGCCAGGGCTGCAATACTGGCACCAAGGAAAGCACTAAGCAATAGCTTATTCCCTGTCAGTAAAGATCACCCACTGTGATCAGGCAGACTCCTGAAGGGCTGGTTTCAAGCGGCTCTGCACTTGCATTGCTTTAGGAACCTCCCAAAGGAGGTACTTTAATGGGGCCTGATGCCCAGAGGAAGCTCTGGCAGATACCTCACCATCCCCACTCACACCTATAGCCTTATGTACAAGATTTACTCACTGGTTTACTCTTCCTCTTTTATATTATAGAAAAAGAATCTGTTGCTTTATCTTCTCCTCTGGATTTGACACCCCCTTGTCTATACAACCAGAGGCAAGGAGCCCACTTTCTTCAGTTCTACAATGCAAAGCTATACATGAGAAACACGTTTCCAGTCTCGTCTATCACAGATATTAGGGACAGGCCACACAAACACAGTCCCCAGGATCTCTATAAACCTCTTCCTGCAGAGTCTAGACAAGGTAAGGAAGCTGTAAACTGATGGAGGGGAGTCACGAGGGGATATGTGTGACCTCCCTCCTGCAGCCCCAGGCCATGCCGGTGCTACTCAACACTACCCAACACAGTGTGGACCACAGCGAGTGGGACAAGCGGCTCCACACGCCAGGTTTAACCACGACATGCAGGAAAAAACTGGCATGGACATCCCAACCGTAACCAGATCCTGAGATTGTGAGGGGAAAGTGCTTTAGAGAAGGGAGTAAGAACTAAGCCAAGCAAGGAAACTCCGGCTTCCCAACCCACAGGCCCTGATGTGGCACGGAGATGTCTCCCAGAGCTCTGGCTCCCAGCAGGAATGGGCAGGGCAGAGCCACACCAGACCTGTTCCCTCTCCACAAGCACAAGGGCAGCAGGATCCAGGATCTCTCTATGGGAAACAGCTTGGCAAGAAACTCTCAAGTCCACCTTGTGCATAAGCAAGTGTTGCTCGTTCTGGTCTCCCCGAGATGCAGCGACATCAGGAGCAAGATCCTTCCTGAACACCTCCAAAGCTCACGTGGAGAAGCTGCTTTCACCCTCTCGCCCTCTCCCATGTTAAGGAATCAATCCTACAATGCTGAAGCTCAAGCTGCTGACAGGCAGCGCTGTACTCGGAGCAGCTGGGAAGCACCACACTTCATTACACTACTTTCACAGTTACTATAATCCCGGTTTGCATGCCAATATATAGCAAGAGATACAGAAATGGTTAATCTTTTATAAAAATACCTGATTTTCATGTAATAAAAAAGGCATTACAGTAAGAGTACCCTCTGGTGACTGATTTTGTATGCACACCCTAAGTTACATTAGATCTGCTCTTCTCAGTTTCAACGTCGCAGTCTGGCTAACTTACATGACAGAAACCACAGCCACACGCCAGTGTATCTCTTAGGAGAGATAGTACCAATAAATACACAAGCCTTGAGACAGTCCTCAAGCCCAAATCATGTCCCCTGTTGCACATGTGAACAGGCAGCGTGGTTTTCCCTGTTCAATGCACAGAAACCCAGACTTTCTACAAAGCTTAGAAGGCTGCGCACCCCAGCACTGCCACAGCTCCCCATCTCCAGATCAGTTGTCTGGCTTGTCTAATGGATACAGCACTAGACCAGAACTCAGCAGACTGAATTCTATTGTTAAGTCTACTGCTAACAAGCTGAGGTATGTTATTTTCCCAGGGAATACAAGGAAAACATCACCATTTCTTTTATAAAGCACTTTGAGATCTACTCACGAGAAGTTTGAGGTCATATAAGCAAGCACACAGTATGATCACACCGGTAAAAGAGCCAAAGTGCCCATTACATGGGCTGACCCGAGTCATCTTTGCACACAAATCACACCATGGCTGCAGTTACACAGGGCCTGGACCCAGCCTGTTATCCCCTACTCATCTTTGGGGAGTTACTCTCTAATATGACACCTGTGGTAGGTTTATTTGCAGCAGAACAATGGATCAAGTTGCTTTTCCTAGTTTAAGTGTCTCACACACACAATAGCAGCTACGTGTCCTCAGGATCCTCAGTTTGTCCTACACTGCCCCAAAGCCTGAGCCCATGCAGCAGGGCAGAGCCTGGGTAACACTTTCATGTGGCTACTGAGGCTCTTCCGTGTACCAAAGCCCTGGCCACAGGAGAGACAGACACAAGCACCCGAGTGCACAGGCATAAGGTGCCTGTTTCAGTCTGTCTTGTCTCGAAACAGCTTGGCACAGTTAGGACACTGCATCTTCTTACAATGGAAGTGGATGGACTTCTCGTGCCGATCCATGTTGGATTTCAGAGTGAAGGTGGCAGGGCACTGGGAGCACTGGAAGCGGGAGAGCGGATTGGGAAGCACTCTGTCAGTGAGGCCCGGCCGGGGGCAGTCAACCAAGTCCAATGGGAAAAGCATGGAGAAGGCATGTTCATGGATGTGCTCCTTCAGCTCTTCAGCATGCTGGAAAACCCTCCTGCAGAAACCACAGGTCAGCCTCTTGGCGAGGCTGGAATCCTGGCAGAGGCCATCAGTGGTTCCATCCATGTCTTCGGATCTGGAGAAGCTCGTATCTACAACAGAAACAAGAGACACACAAGGAGATCAGCGTCCTCTGGTGTAAAACAATGGCAGGTTTAAAACACATTTTTCTCTCTGCTTACCTGAATCAGAGTTATCAAACTGCCAAAGTGCTAAAAGTCCATCGTAAGCGGCCTGCAAATGGAAAGCATCCTGGAGTTAAGGCAAGCATTTACAAGAACACGTCTCTGCGTCGGTGCTCAGAGCCCCATCTTACCTCTGCCTTCACCCCTTCCTCAAGGGAGGCTCATCCCTTCTCCTGGCCACCAATCTGCCTTTATGAGGCTCTCACTCTCAAAGCAGCCAAGTTAATGGGCTGTATTTTGCAAGATTTGGTGTTTTGAAGCAAGTAATCAACATGCCCTTTTGGGTCCTGGGTAACTACTCAGTTCCCAGCCTCACCAAGCATCCATAGCTCCCACTGTGGCCAACAACAGAAAATCTCTAGCAGACACAACAGAACTGGGAAGTTTTCCCTTAGCCCTACACAGCTACTTCTTCTATCCCCATAGAAAACAAACACCTTCTGCAGAACTCCCTTTATGCGGTGCTTTCTGGCACTGCTGCTCCAAAAGCTCAATAAAAGGTGATGTTTAGGTTTCATGCAGCATTTGCAGTGTGCCAGCGTGTGGCAGATGGCAGCTCTCTATGGGGCAGAGGCGTGATGCAGCCTGGGCAGGTCTGCTGGGGATGGGCAAGTGGTCGCTGTGAGCAGCTCCCTTTGCTCCGGGATGACTGCAAAGGAAAATCTGGGTTTCCATCCGTTTCTTTACTGGAATTAAAGCATCATTCCAAAACACAAAGACTAAGAAATGCCATAGAAAGACATGAATTTGATGTCAGAGTGTAATACAGCAGCCAACCTGCTTCTATCCCAATTTAGCTAGAAGAAATCTAAACGCAGAACACAAGAGGTGGGCAGTGGATAGCTGTGGTCTCAGCTGTTTTTATGCCATTATTATGCTCTTGCATGCTACGCTTTGCAAACAGAAGGACTGACAATAAAAAGGGCATGTATCCTTCAAAACCATAGTTTTGTGAATGCAAGTTCTGCTGAGGAAAGGCACAAAGGCTAAAATTAGGACAGCACCAGCCTTGACCTCAATGGACTTCCTAGGTTTAAAATACCCTGTATTTAAAACCAAAACAAAGCTAACAGATCAAAGTACGAGACAGGAGGTTTCTCAAAGCACTCCTATGTCCCGAAACCAGGACACCCCAAACCAGGCAGAATTTGATGAAACAGATACCTTTGCACTTCAATCTGTTGGCATTTACACACACACACACACACACACACACCCCCAATCTTACCTGGGTGGAGGAAGGCACCTCTCCTTTTGCCATGGTTTCTGGTGACATGCCACCAGAGGAGCAGGCCTCGGGGGGGCTCTGAGTGGCAAGGTGTGATGAAGGCAGCGGGGGAGATGGTGCTTCCACTTTGCCATCACTTTCGCCCCTTGGATGATTCAAGTTGGTGCCAGGCCCTGGGGAACACAGGAAACGAATCTCACCCACGTGCACCAGCACCAGCTGGTGGCTTTACACCAGGCCTCCAAAGGCAGCGCTCGCAGGGTTATCTTCCATCAGCGGGAGCAGGGGATGCAGCAGGACACTGATGCCAGAGGCTTTGGTGCGTTTGCTGTGTTCAAACCAGCCTCCCCACCCTAATGCCTGGTGTGGGTGGTGGTGTCACACCGTGTGGCACCGTCACTAAGGGAGTCCATCGGGAGACAGCAGCACACACAGCCAGAGCAGTCACACTGCTGAAAGACACCTCTGGGAGGAGCACCATTTCAAACCCATTTAAGCAACATACACAGAGACTGGATTCTGCTACTGACTTGCTTGAAACTTGATGGCAAAGCTCCAGATCTCCAGATCTGACCGCGGTGTATTTATTATATACTGTCAATCCTTGATCTCAAAGTGCTTTACAAAAGAATTGCTTTCATTCTCTGGTGACCGAGCATGGACGTGCAGATACTCGTGCAAAACTATTCAATGATACCCTAGAGGCAGTAAGATTCCAAAAACCTACCATAGATTAAAAAAGGAAAACATCATTTGTCTGTCTGAAACAGAAGCTGCAACAGTCAATCTGTAGCACTGGTCAAATGGTAAATGCTGCTCCACACACTGCCCTGCTAATGCACAACACATCTAAATACGAGTGAGGAGCACGTAATCGAGAGCAGCAGACGTTACAGGCTGTGAAACAAACTTTAACAGCCCCCTTGACTGAACACTGGAACCACATAGTGAGCAGGGTCATTACTTCCGAAAGGCAAGCAGGCAAACTGAGGAGCAAATATGGCATCAAAGGAAATAAATGCCTATTTAAAGCACTCGATGCCCTAAAGGCTGTTTTATTTCTCACACAAAGGAGCCTGATTGAGACCCCACACTTTAATGCAGCTACAAATAACAAGTCCAAGTTTATTCTAGGGCCAAGTACAACACGCTGTGATCTGGGGCACAACAAAGGTTTCTGAACGCCAGCGATCCCAAACCCAGCTCTGTATCAGCTCCCAGAGGAAACTCTGCCCTCGTGCCACAGGCTGGATGTTTGCTGTACCTTCCTCTGCTTTGATCACAGATGGAGATCTCACACAAGGGGGTTAACGCTGTTCAAGGGAACAATACTTCACGTTTTCGTGCTGGTGCTGCTCACTTGGGGCTCTTGCAATTTAAAGGCAGGACAACAAAACACTAAACCCCCATAAATTCCAGCCAGGAAAACCATGAATTCATCAGTAATTCCCATTAGAAACTGTGACTCCAGGTCCACAGCAGAATTCCTGCCTAGACATCCACATATCCCTGCGTTTTCCCCCCAACATCCCAAACTGATCCCAACCTCCCTGTTTACATTGAAGCTACACACTTGAGAGTACAGAGAACTCAGAGGCATCTCTGGGTTGCACATCATCAAACAAAGGGTGCTTTAGCACACAGTAAAGAGAAGCCAGTGGGGTCTGGCTGGACTAATTCTGTATTAGCACCTTCATGGATTTATACAGGTTCCTAGGAAACTACACACATGTGAAAGCTGAAGGAGGAACAATAAACTCCATCACCCACCATGAGCCACCACGATGTACACCACAACAAAGCACAAAGCTGAGTTTTAAACCAACAGTTCAGATTTATTTGGTTTCAACAACTGCAGGTAACACAAGAGGAAAAACCCACATAAATGACCCACATGTTGTACACGAGAAGGCAAACAGAACCTGGATTCATGCTCTGTCCCATTCTAATACTGGGAGAAACCTTCCTCTCCTCCTAAATTGGTATTGAAATGGATTTTAGTGACAAGTGTTTTAACTTCTCAATCAGAAATCAATCAGCTCTGCATAGAGACGATGCCTTGGCTTAACAACATTCCTATGAACATGGTATTATCTGGAGAGGAAACTGAGGGAAAGAGAACAACAAAGGTTATTATAGTGCTTAAATCACATCCATTCTCCCATAAAGCTTCACGTACCATGTACAGAACTTCCACGTCAGACTGAACCCCTTCAACTTCCTCCTGGGGCTGTTGACCGCTGGTTAAAGTGTATTCCTTCAACAGCCAGCACCAGTGGAAGTGGTTGGCTTCAATGAAGCACTGCCTAAAAATAACATATTAGCCGGTTTGCCCAAAGAAAAGGGCTCTGTGTACCATGGAATCACTTGGCCAGCGAGCTTCATAGGAATTGCTTCTATAAACAGTTGCAGTTGCAAGAGGGTAAACAGGAAAAGCCAAACTTAGACACAGAAAAAAGCAGGCAATGTGCTATTCTGGAAACATGGGAGAGTCACCCTTCAGGGGAGCCCAGCACCCCCAAAGGAGAACAAGGACATGGACTGACCAGCGCGGTTGCTAATGAATATTCAAAGTCTCATTCTCTTGATTATACTTGGCAAAAGCAGCTAAAAAGAGTCAACTAAAGCCTTTGAGACTTTAGTAGCTGTGGTGTAACCATCCGGAACAATGCTACCAAAGTTCAGTACCACAAGTGAAGTAAGACACGCGTTATGAAGCCAAGCAGCTCAGGAGGAGGAGCTGGAAACCAGCACGGGATAACCTGCTTTTACAGACAGAGCATGAAAACTGAACCTCTTAGACTGCCTTATCTGAAAGATCCCCACAGCAAACTGGGCAGGTTCAGTAATGAATGGCTCCCAAGACAACCTCAGTGTTACCCATGAGTAACTTACGTGGTCTTTTTGGCTGCAAACCCCACATGTTCTTTAGGTTTCCACCGAGCATATGAACAACATCAGTCTTGATCATACACCATGAACACCAGAATTCTCAGAGCTGCAGGTTGTCTATGACTATGTTACCCAAATAGCAAGCTACTTAAATCTTCCCTCCAGATTTTAAATGAATTTGAACTGGTTTCCTTTAGAAATGCTGCACTTACGTTTGACTCCATCACAGTGATACATCAGCCCTCACACACCCCGGGCTTTGTTTTCCATCAGGAGAATGTTAAGTAATTTCACACCTCAAATGATCGTAACAACATAAAATGAATTAGGAAAGAAGCACACAGGGTAAAGGGAAAACTTTGGGGTTTCCTCTTTTAACTCCTCCAGCAGTGTGAACTATGCAGAAGGAAAAATGAAAACTCTTAACACATGCAGTGACCTGGAGAGTGAGATCCCCTTTAGACACAGCTCATCCCACTTCTACCATGGGTAATAAATACACTCTTCAGCTCTGTCCACTTCCAGTAAGTGTTTCCTCCAGAGAAGACAAATAAACCCAAGCGCTGCTCCTTGAGTCAGTTACTGTAGTGCCTCACAAGCACACACAAGGACACTCCAGTGACAGCAGTTAAGGTTAAAACCAGTTTTCAACTCGAAAGAGATTGATCACTTCGAATTCCTGTAATGAGTGTTTGCTTTACCAATGTGACAGATGAAAACTGTGCTGCACTGGATTTGAAAAGCAATAAAACCTTTTCCTTGCCCTGTGCTCCTGCCTACTCCCCCCACCTTTTTCTCCTTAAATATAACCCAGGACTTAAAATGACTCAACATCCTCAAATTGTGCTTGAAGTAGAATGTGAAAAACACCTACAAAGCTAGCACCAACCCAGACTGGGCTTTTAGATCTCCAGAACCTTCTTACCCCTCACTTTACTGTCCCTTTATACACTGAGGATTCTCATTAAACTTGATGTCCTATTGTATTCATACTGACCACTTAAAAGCGAGTCTTACAGCATAAGGTCTTTCATAAGTGGTTAAAATGAATTGATAACTGGGTTTGAACAAGATGAATGCAAAGTATGTCCCTTAACTCTATCCTCCTGTAAAAATCCTTGTACCAAGCGCCAGCCCCATCCATGCTCTGGTGTGAGAGCTACACCAAGTGACCTGTCTTGTGTTTGCCTCATGCAATTCACTTTGCTCCTATAAAGATGAGATCACTGGAGCTGAGCTGATGAAGCTGAAGTCATAGTAAGAGGACAGGAACACAGGGACCTCAGACACAGGCTGGAAGGACCTCCTGAGTCACTGCACCCACCAATGATCTATCATTCACCTCCTTTTCTAAAGGTACCAAGCTTTATCTTAAACCCTGCTGGTCTCCTGCCATCACCACGCCTGTTTCCAAACTCCATTTCTCTGGTTGGGCAATCTCTAATTTCCAGCCCAAATCTGACTGTCTTCTACTCATCTGTCTTTATGCCAAGTGGTGCTTCAGCTTCTAAGTAATTGAAGGAAGGATGATGGATAGAGACAGCCCTGTTGTTATCAACATTTATCATGACAGAGATGACAGCACTGATCTCACCTGTCACAAGACAGCGCTGAACCCACGATGCATAAATCACCCTCCTGAGCTCCCCCTGTCCCGGTGCCAGCTGAGGGCACTCTTCCCACTGCACACAAGCCAGAGGCTGAACTGCTCTACAGGGTCTTTGCTGCTGCACTGCAACAAAGGGATTTTCATCCCAGGAGCCTCGTTTGAACCATCTCAATCTGATTTAATTGGAGATCATCCAGTAAGAAAACTACTGTGGAAGGAAGATGAACACTGCAGCACTTCGGCCGCAGAATAAGGCACAACAACTCTACCTTTTCTCTCTAAACTTAGAAAGATCAACTAAAATAGTTTTACTGTTCAGACTGAGAAGTGTAAAGAGATACTAAGACTGACATTACCTGGTGCAGTTATTTCCCTTTATCACACAGCTCAAGCCACCAGCTGACCACTTGGACAGGGCTTGGAGCAAGCTGCTCTAGTGGAAGGTGTCCCTGCCCGTGGCAGGGGTTGGAACTGGATGGGCTTTAAGGCCCCTTCCAACCCAACCAGTCTGGGATTCATTCTATGATCCTACAACCATTAAAAGTTATCTATCTTTTGCCACAGTGGAGAGTAAAAGCAAAATAAGTGAACTTTTCTATCTATTTAATGGCTTAATTTTCTCAGTGTAGATTAAAATAGACCTTTTCTGATGGAACCTCAGATGCAGTAATCCGAGAGCCACTGCCTGCTCTATTTTATGCCCCATCTTCTCAGAGCATGATTAAAATACAGCATTAATAGTTTTTTCTTTCTACTTTGATTGTAATGAATACAAAAGTATGCTGAAAAATCAGCTGCCCACACCTAACACACACATCAGCTGTCTCCAGCACGTCACCAGGAGAAAACCCATCCATTTCCATGTGCAAGTGTAACAACACAATCAATAGCTGCTCCTCAGAGAGAGGTCTAAAACTAACCATGAAGAAGTGAAGATCCTTCGATGTACAACCCCACAACTGTTTCCACAGACCCAGGAGCAACAGGCAAGATGTCAGCAATCAGCCAGTTTGCATTCAAACCCTTTGGAGCTCCTTCTCCTACCATAAGGACTCAAATACTTTGTGTTTCCTTTGTAAGTCCCATTGTGCAAATGAGCAAACCAGAGATCTGAGGACGCTACACGCATACACGCTAAATACTTTCTCCCACGGCATCAGCAGTTAACATTGAAGCTGGATCAACACCAGACCCAGCTTTCGTTTTATGGAAAGCGGGATTGAGCAGGACACAAAACTGGATCTGAACAGATGAGCTGTAACACACAAGCCAGTGGCCCGTGTTTTCCTCTCACAAACCGCCTCACTTGAAGTGTCAATAAGCAAAAAAGGAGAGAAACACAAACTTACGGGAGAGGGAGTGGGTGCCTTTGGGCAGGTACTCGAAGAGCAGAGAGCTGTCCTCTCCCAGCATGTCGGCTTTCAGGGACAGCAAGCTGTTCTTGCTCATGAGAGCCGCGCGCAGGTTGGCCACGGTGGCAGCCTGGAGCACATCCTCCTTCTCCGGCGTCAGCGGCTGCGGGATGTACGTGCCCTCCCCGGTGAGGAGCGCTTCCTCCACTCTGCTGTCAGAGCTGCTGGGCTCCGGCACCGGCACCTCAGCACCTGCGGGGGGACAGAGGCTGTCAGAGAGGGAAGAGGATTCCCGAGTGGAACACCGCAACTTCAGCGCCAGGAAGGAAGGGCAGAGGGAGGTGCACGACCTCCCCATGAGCAGTAACTGCAGGAAAGCTTCACTATTTGCTTGAAATGATGATTTCAGGATTATCTGCTAGTGTCGGAATTACATTCACGTGTTAAATCACAGAACCACAGCCTGGTTTGGGTTGGAAGGGACCTTAAAGCTCCTCCAGCTCCAAGCCCCTGTGCCCAACCTGGCCTTGAGCACTGCCAGGGATGGGGCAGCCACAGCTTCTCTGGGCACCCTGTGCCAGCGCCTCAGCACCCTCACAGGGAAGAGCTTCTGCCTAAGAGCTCAGCTCAGTCTCCCCTCTGGCAGGTTAAAGCCGTTCCCCTTGGCCTGTCCCTACAGGCCCTGGTCCAGAGGCCCCTCTCCACGTTGCTTTAAAGACCCACTCCACGAAGCTGTACCAAAAAGCCTCAAAGCAAACAATAAGGAAAAGGCAATCATTAGCCGAGTCCTCCTACACCCTGGAGATGGAATACCCCAGCAAGCACAGCAGCAGCGACTATGTGAGCTATCAGAGATGTTTTCTCTTTAAAGCAAACCATTTCCCCTCCTCCATCTGTGTCTTGCTTCCTTAATCTCCCATCACCAGTTTTCGTACGTATCAGCTAAGCAGAGGGATTCAATTGTTTTGACTTCTTACATATTTTGTCATCCCCCTGTTACTGAGCGAGCAGGTGACAGCTATATAAAACACACTTTTCTAGATGATAATGAAGTCTGGTTTAAAAACTAATGCTTCTGCATAAAGGGAAAAGAGGAGACTTCAAAAACCTTACAGAAGGTGGCAGAGAAAGTCAATTCTAACCCGTTGGAGTGGCAACGGAACAGCTTTATCCATCACAGGCGTGCCAATAGCTCTGCTCCGTGGCAAATCCCTGCAAAGAGCTCGGGCCAGGAAGGGTGTCTGTCACCAGCGCGGTGCTGCCAAAGGAGCAGGAGGCAGTAAATCACCTTGTGTTTCCTCCTGGACTCCTCCCCTGCCAGCTCCAGATGCTGATTGACAGCTGCCAGACCCGTTGCTGCCTGCTGCACATAAACGCTAATTGTTAAAACGCACGCAGATTAATTGCAAACCACAACAAGACAGTAAATGCTCCTCAGAAGCCAAGAGCAGTGACAGGCAGTGAAATAGAGGCTTTAAAGCTTCCAGTCTTTACAGCTGATGGAACCTAATCAAACACACATTAAGGCCAAATAAATACCCACTTAGTCACATAAGTACTGACATCCTCACAGTGCACCAAAAGCCCAAAACTCACAAGTTCCCCTTCTCGGTGCCTCCAAAACCACTTTGCGCTCCTCTCCAGCACACGACTTCCTTTACCGAGATTTAGGGAAGAAGCCTATGAATCAAAAGCTCCCATCACTTCCCACTAATCCAAACTGTTTACTACAGCGCTGCAGCCCGACGTAAACCCATAGTAAATGAGCTCTTTCACCGTTCCTCAAGTGAGGGCTCACGTGGAGGCCCCCGAGCTCCATGCGAGCCCTGCCCAGCTCATTCCTCACCCTGCTGAGACAGACCCAGTGACCAGCCCTGCTCGCAGGGAATCCTGCTTGGAGCAGGAAGCCGAGCTGGGATTAGGGCTGCACTGAGCTCATTAGTCTCTTTAGCAAAGAATTATTGTGCAGTTATTCTATTACAGCAGCTGACTTTCCCAAACACAGCAGCTTTAGGGAAGCTTTGTTGGCTTCTTGGCTTCAGTGTTTTACTATTTTCCTTTAGTTTCAAATAAAACACAAGGCTGATTTTTTACAATGTTGGCAACAGCTTTTCCACACAACTCCAAAAGCCATGTTAAACCAGTAAAGTTCTTATATACCCGTGAAAGCCTAATGTAAAAGGAATATAGGAAACCTGATTGGAATCAAAGAATCCCGGAGTGGTTTGGGGTGGAAGGGACCTTAAAGCTCATCCAGCTCCAACCCCTGCCATGGGCAGGGACCCCTTCCACTGGAGCAGCTTGCTCCAAGCCCCTGTGTCCAACCTGGCCTTGAACACTGCCAGGGATGGGGCAGCCACAGCTTCTCTGGGCACCCTGTGCCAGCGCCTCAGCACCCTCACAGGGAAGAGCTTCTGCCTCAGAGCTCCTCTCCATCTCCCCTTGGCCCATCCCTACAGGCCCTTGTCCCAAGCCCCTCTCCAGGTTTCCTGCAGCCCCTTCAGGCACTGGAGGTGCTCTAAGCTCTCCCCTTCAGAAGCCTTCTCTTCTCCAGGCTGACCCAGCCCAGCTCCAGAGCAGAGCTGCTCCAGCCCTCGCAGCATCTCCATGGCTTCCTCTGGCCTCTCTCCAACAGCTCCACATCCCTCTGGTGTCAGGAGCTGCACAATTTAAGCCTTGAGGGGCTTCAGGAGAACGACCATCACCATCCCACAGCTCCACCAGCATCCTCTCACCCCAACATCGGCAGCACTGTCGACTAAACCAGCCACTGCCTCCATCTGCCTGCATTTGTGGACACTTGCCAAAGCTTGGGGTGACAGCAAGATCCCACAACTCTCTGGAGCTAATTAAAGAAATGCCAGATAATCTTCTATCCTCCTCTTATGTATAAAATACACTTGACAGTTATAAACAGTAGAACTCTCGGTTAAGTCCACCAAATACTTTCCCGCCCACAGCCAAACATGAAGCAGGGCTGGCAAGTCCTGCTGTTCAGTTTAACACATGTAGGAAGAAACCACAGCAAACCCCACAGCACAGGTTGCTGCGTTTCTTTACATAAATTTCTATGTGGGGCTTTGGATAAAGGCCTGTAGGGACAGGACAAGGGGTTTGGAGCAAACTCCTCTAGTGGAAGGTGCCCCTGCCCATGGCAGGGCTTGGAACTGGATGAGCTTTAAGGTCCCTTCCAACACAAGCCGTTCCGGGATTCTATGAGCATCATCTATGAGCATCACTACTCTCACCTCAAGTCTTCATTCCTGCATCCTCCCCTGCTACTCCCTCAGCTGGACCATGACTACGTGTGTCGTTGCGAGGTGAACTCGAGACAGGAACTACTATGTTATAAATAAACTGGTTTATTAAGAAAAGGTTATATTTAAACCCCAAGCAGTTCCCACTCCGGATCACTACATGACTGCACAGACATTTGCACCGGAACAAGTGGAGGAGAGCGTGGGGGGGGACACACAACAATTCAGTCCCAAGGGAAGGTGGGAGCCACTTCGAACTCTGCTTTTCATTCAAGGACACTGCTAAACCATGACCTGAGCTGAACTCATCAGGAAAAAACTCAGGTGAAATCAAAGACTTCATCTGCTGAGGTGGTTCTGCCTATTTGTGTCAAGTACCTATAGAGCTCTGCCTGAGAGTGGGTTTCAGCTGTCACCTCAAAGCTGATGTTTCTGGTGTAAGATTTGGCTTCATCTCCTCCTGTGCGACAGACAATGAAGTTTTAAACTTGCAGGTAAAAAAAAGAACAAAAAGCTTTCATTTCTTAGTGTTTATTTCTTGGGAATAGAAGAGAAAAAGGAGCACTCGGGCTGGTAGGAAATGACAACCTCTCAGCAGCTGCTAAATATATCCTTGCAGATACCCCCTTCCTTTCTAATAGAAATCCTTCTGAAGTGTTTCACAACTCCCTGTTAAGCCAACGCAGTGCTCTCCCACGCTGTCATGTTTACACACAGAAGCAATGCCAGGAGCTGTATTGGGTTTGATCAGCGCTGGTTTACAAACATAGCAGTCTACACGTGGATAGCATAAACGTGCTCAGCATTCAAAATAAGCTCCAGTTTCACAACCCAGGAAAAGTATCAGGCAAAGAGAGATATTCAACCACCACATGTAATGATCATTAAATGCTGCTTGAAGGACTTAAAGCTCTTCCCTGTGAGGGTGCTGAGGCGCTGGCACAGGGTGCCCAGAGAAGCTGTGGCTGCCCCATCCCTGGCAGTGTTCAAGGCCAGGTTGGACACAGGGGCTTGGAGCAAGCTGCTCCAGTGGAAGGGGTCCCTGCCCATGGAACTGGATGAGCTTTAGGGTCCCTTCAACCCAAACCAAGCTGGGATTCCATGGTATATTCATCATACCTGTTTTACCAGCAGAAACATTCTCCTCAGCACTTCTAGAATGCTATTTCTGAAATAAACCAAGCTGTTCTACGCAAATACAACCAGGTTTTACACCAGTATTTCTGCAGTGCTGTGCTACGAGCACAAGCGCATCTCCCCGTCTGTCTTCCTCAAAACAGTCATCAGTGTCCAAATACCAACTGGAACATTCCCTCCACTCCTCCAGGGATCGGACTAAACCCCATATTCAACCTCTCTCTTCCCTGTGCTATTTGGGTTTGTAACTCTGAATCAAACTCTGCAGATGTTTTTCCTGTGGTGTGTGTCAGCAAAAGGAGCTCCTGGCTCCAATCCCAGCGGCTCATTGCTGCTCTCCCATTGCCTGTTAGTGACCCCAACTCAACCCTCTGCAGGGCTACAGGGTAAATGTGGTCAGAGAACTGATCCTCCCCAGACCACGAACACCCAAAATCCAAAGAGAATTCAAACAAAACACCCAAATCCAAAGACACCCAAACTGGATGAGTTGGGTTTGAAACTGTGCTGAAATGGAGTAATAGAGTGGTCCTTGCAGGAGTAGGAATGTTTGGGCAGTGCAGAAATACCTTAAACCACACTTTCCCCCCCTCAAAGTATGCAGAGAACTGCACAGTAACTCCAGACTATCACTTCAACACCACTAAGATTGAGCCTCAGCTTAACCTCTTTAAGTCAGATACCCCATGCACTAAAAGGACTGGCTCTGTTCTCTGCTGCTCCTCAATACAGTCTCTTGCTGTACATGAACAGACACCAACACGAAGGGATAGGAATCGAGCACCCAAATATCACATTGAACATGAACACAGGGACTTGTTAAGTGACATGATGCTAAGCTATAACCTTTGGAAAACC